ATATTTGAGAAAAGATTTTTTTTTGATAATAAACTGGAAACAGTCTATTATCTAAAATAATGGATTAAGACATTCAAAACTATTCTCCAATTGTCATGTTTCGTGGGACACCCTGTACATACACCTTAGCAATCCAATCCATCGTCAATACTATCTCAACATATACCCTTCTACAGAAAAGGAAATTATCTTACTTCTCAAAAGATTTTTTTTCAGATGGGTTCCGGTTCCGGTTAACATTAACAAAATGTCAAGATGTGAGAATTTTTTGCTGTTGCATATCTCTAAAATTGTTCTCAAACGTTTGCACTAATCGTTTAAACTTCTAAGACAAAATTTGTCGAAATTATAAAAAGATTGATTTGTTTTATATGGAAAAAAAAGAAAAATTGTGAAAAATGAAGAAAACTTACGCATCGGAGTAGAACCCGGAGTTTGGTATTACTGTTTATCAGACTTAAATAATTTACTTTTAGCCATTGAAGGATAAAATTACGATTTGCAATTACATAATTGGAGCTTTTAATCATTGAGATAAAGTACAGGCGTTTATACTTGTTTATATTTTATACAGAAGCGTAAGAATTACTTAATGATAAATTAATTAGACAGAGGGTTTTTTGAATTAGCCAGTTAAGGATTTAAAAATGTTGATGGCTCATTAGTCATTACCAAGCTTTTAAAAAAAACTTATTGCTGGAAATTGTAAATGCAAGTTGTGAAGTCAAACTTTTAAATTACTGTTTTCGTTTTGGAAACTTGAAAACATTGTCGCCTTGAGGTAAGAGAGTAAAATTAATGAGGGGGAGAGGGGGTGTGAAAGGGGGATTTTTTTGAGGGGGGGTGAAGCTAGTTTTGACTAAATAAACTTTATAAACACAGATGTCTGTGTTGAGTTGAGTATAAGAGCTCTATCTGTTGGAGAAATAAACATTCATAGATTCAATAAACACTCATTTCCTATAGTTTACAGTTTTCCACTCATTTTCTATAGTTTACAGTTTTCCACTCATTTTCTATAGTTTACAGTTTTTCCCTCATTTTCTCTAGTTTACAGTTTTCCACTCATTTTCTAAAGTTTACAGTCTTCCACTCATTTTCTCTAGTTTACAGTTTTCCACTCATTTTCTCTAGTTTACAGTTTTCCACTGATTTTCTCTAGTTTACAGCTTTCCACTCATTTTCTATAGTTTACAGTTTTTCATTCATTTTCTCTAGTTTACAGTTTTCCACTCATTTTCTCTAGTTTACAGTTTTCCACTCATTTTCTAAAGTTTACAGTTTTCCACTCATTTTCTATAGTTTACAGTTTTCCACTCATTTCCTGTAGTTTACAGTTTTCCTAACATTTTCTCTAGTTTACAGTTTTCTACTCATTTTCTATAGTTTACAGTTTTCCACTCATTCTCTATAATTTACAGTTTTCCACTTATTCCTATGGTTTACAGTTTTCCACTCATGTTCTATACTTTACTGTTTTCCACAGATTTTCTCTAGTTTACAGTTTTCCACTCATTTTCTCTAGTTTACAGTTTTCCACTATCCACTCATTTTCTTTAGTTTACAGTTTTCCACTCATTTTCTCTAGTTTACAGTTTTCCACTCATTTTCTATAGTTTACAGTTTTCCACTCATTTCCTATAGTTTACAGTTTTCCATTCATTTTCTATAGTTTACAGTTTTCTACTCATTTTCTATAGTTTACAATTTTTCACTCATTTTCTCTAGTTTTCAGTTTTCCACTCATTTTCTATAGTTTACAGTTTTCCACTCATTTTCTAGATTTTACAGTTTTCCACTCATTCTCACTTTCTTTTGTTCAATTTGATAGTATGATATAGATTTTGGCGTTTTTGGGCGAAGCATAAGATAACGATTTATCAATTTAGAAAATAATTTTTTAGAATTTTTCGGATTTTGATAACATTTTTATGAATTTTGATGAAACATTTATAAATTGGTGTTTGGTGTTATTTGATAGAAAAAGTAAAGTATATCACAAATATAGAAAATGAAGGTAGAATTCAAGTAAAAAGAAGAAGAAATCAAGAAGGATTGATGACTAAGAAAGAAAAAGGAATATAAAAAGAAATAGTTATGTCTTTTCGTTATATTTCTTTGACACATACATCAAGTAAACACAGATTCTAGATTTCAAATGAGTCAATGAAAGAGTTTATAAATAAAGGATTTAGAATACAGAATACAAAATACAAGATAAAGAATACAGGATACAGGACGCAAGATGCAAATACTAAAAATTAAAAGTAAAAGTAAACGCAGGACTCTAAACTTGGAAAAACATTTTTTTTCGCTCCTGTACCGCAGTAGAGTTCAGTACAGTTCAGTACAGTTCAGTACAGTGCAGTACAGTGCAGTACAGTGCAGTACAGTGCAGTACAGTGCGGTAGTTTTAGAACATTCAGGCTAGACCAGCAACATTTTTTTTGGTCAGGAGGCCGAAATTAAAGAATTTGAGCCGAAGTTTAAATTTAAGCCGCCGCTCAAATTTTGTTGGTTCCACTTTTAGGAAGTGAGTCTGTGCCACAAACTCTGATTTTCTTATCCTTATATTTTTCCAACAAAATGTCGTAAACCTTTAATGTTTCAAACTATTAATTCTGATGGATCAAATAATAAAAGTCTGAAATATTAAAGATTTACATCATCGGGTTGATAAGATATAGGGATTAGAAAATATGACTTTGTGTGACTTTGTATTAAGTTTTTCAAGATTTAAGCCGGCGCTCAATTGAAACCGGTTTTTGGGGGATTCTAGACGAGGTTAAATTCATTAAATTCGGACAAGGGAGACATTGTATCTGATGAGTGACATTTTCTATCAAAGTAACAGTGAGGAAAATATTGGTGTTTTTCTACCTAAAAATTGAATTCTGTAAATTGAAAATAATTAAGTGTACATACCCCTCTATAAAAGATATGTAACTTGGAATTACGTGTACATTTTCTTTAATAATACAAAATTACACAAACATGGATAAATTTGGGTAATTACTAATTTCCCTAAACATGCCTGTAGGGATATTTTAAATGACATATTTATCCTACACCTGTTCCTGTGCACTCTAGCTTTGTGTTTAATATAAACTCTAACTCTAGCTTTCTCTCTAGGTGTATATGGGCTTGGGTGTCTGTTTGTGTCGAAACGACCCATAAGACCCAAATTCTGTGTGGTTAGTTCACATGAATCCAGATTAGAGCCGCCGAAATTCAAAATTACAATAAATTCCATTTAAAAAATTTGAAAAATTTATTAAGTTAAATTCAATTGTGCACGAAAAGCTACATTTAAAAGCTTAAATTTCGGTTATTAAAAAAAGGGGTGAGCAAGCGCAAAGTAAAATAATACTATAGCTTTTAGGGCGCTTTGCTCATCCATTTTTATTTTTATTTTCAATTGTTGCTCTATCTGATGCATCTTCTCTTTGTACAATATAAAACAAAAACAAAAAAGTTCGCTGAATTAATAACATTTTTCCATCATTTTTAAAATTGTATATAAAAAGTATATATAAAGAATAGGTTTCATATAGTATTTGTAGACTAGATTTTATAAAAAAAAATTCGTGGATTTTCAAAATTTTCAAAAATCTAATTTTGTAAAAGGCAAATATTTGAACTCGATCATCCATAAACCTTCCTGAAGGTCACGTGAGGATCCATAATTAAATTTGGGCCTAATCGGTTCAGCCGTTTTGACGTTTATTGGACACAAACGGACACCCGAATAGACAAGCAAGCAAGTATATATATATATATAAATATATATATATATATATATATATATAGGCTAGCTAGGCATGTGGGCGCTTCAAGTATCCTTTTCTTGTAATGATATTAGCTCTTTGATTGTTACTTTGCCGTGGCAGATTTGAAATATTTTAAAAGTTTTTTGGAGTGACGATGTTTTACCCGAACCAGGTATAAACCTATCCTGTGTATTTATAAATATTATATTATAAAATTACCAAGATTTTTCCCATTATAACAGAGCAGTTTAATTGATTGATTGATAAATCAATTAATTAATTAATCAATAATCATAATGATCGAAAATACCTTATTTCTTTGTTATTTCTATGTTGAACCTATAAACCAATCAAAATACGAATAAATAGTTAAGAAAAATATGAAGTTGTCACCGTGTAATAGTTGGCGAAAATCAGTGTATTAATCTTTATGACAATAACTAAGAGGGGATGTTGCATTAAGATTATATTGCAATACTATGTAATTTAATGGGTAAATTGGTTACTTAAATAAAAGTCAATTGGAGGACTCACGGCTTGACCCTGGCCCCACACCGACTCTTTTGCAAACCTGAAGACTCTCTCTGGCCTCTGGTCTTGCTTCTTACGACCTCTTACAACTACATAGATTGCAGACTATAGGCTCTCTCTCGGGTGATGGCTTATGTTATCCTCCTGCCCCATCCTACCTCCTGGAGTAGAAGGCGTAGAATGGAGTTGATCACCTCTCCCACGGACTTCCTTATCAACTGAGTAATCCTGGTTCAATATTTCCTTTTATACTGCTGGCTCAGCGGTCATCTCCAAAAATCATCATTGAAACTTGATAAAACTCTTGTTACCAAACCAGCTGGTTACCTCTTACAGAGCAAGGGAGAGGAAGGAGAAGGGGGTTACATTAGCATTGTACATGGTTATTAAATAATTATCTATGCAAACACAAAGTGCTATCTCGAAATTAATATCTAAATTTGAATACAATTTTAACAGAAAAATACTCAAAACTATTTTAAAATAGATAACAATGTAAAACTGGAAATTTTTCTTCGTTGCAAAATGTCCGATTGCTTTTTATTTTGTGTTTTTCATAAAACTGTTTTTTGATTTTCAAGTATTTAAGAAAAAGATGAAGTAGATTTTTAATTTCATTTCATGTTTGTATTTGAATCCCAAAACAATTTATGCGATGAAAAAGAAGTTTTTAAAACAATGCATTTATAAACAATATACAACAAACATAGCTATAGTTTAAAATCTAATTTTGAAAACATTATTGGTATTTAGAAGGATCGAGTAGATACTTGGAACTTCAAGAGAGAGGTAAGCAAACAACTATTGTAATTTCAAGTAAACCTTTATTTAAATTTTATTTCGCAATGATGTTCTTCTTGAGAGAAAAATTTGTAAATCAGACATGTTTTAACTTTTACATTTACATTTACTAAAAATCAGATATGCTTTCACTTTTACATTTACATTTACTAAAAATCAGATATGCTTTCAATTTTACATTTACATTTACTGAAAAAAGTGTAAATAAATTTACAAATTCAAAACAGAATTAACATGTATGTATCTCTATACTTTTTTATATTATAATTGAGCTTCTATCAAGTAAATTCTTATCAAAATATTCCTGAGTGTTTTCTGTTTTCTGTTTAGTTACAATACAACTTTTTATTAACCTGATTTTCTGTTTATGTTTAGTTAAAATAAAGCTGTTTATTATCTTCATATTCTGTTTTCTGTTTAGTTAAAATGAAACTGTTTATTATCCTTATATTCTGTTTTCTGTTATGAAACTGTTTATTATCCTGATATTCTGCTTTCTGTTCAGTTACCATGAAACTGTTTATTATCCTTATATTCTGTTTTCTGTATAGTTACAATGAAACGTTTATTATCCTGATATTCTGTTTAGTTCCAATATAACTGTGCATTATCCTGATATTCTGTTTTCTGATATGAAACTGTTTATTTTCCTGATATTCTGTTTAGTTACAATAAAACTGTTATTCTGTTTTCTGTTTAGTTTATTATCCTTATATTCTGTTTTCTGTCTAGCTAAGATGAAACTGTTTATTATCCTGATGTATTGAGATGTATTGAAGAAATTAACAAAGATAATTTACCAGCCAACTCTATTCTATTCTCTGTAGATGTTACAGGATTGTACACAAATATACCTCAGGATGATGGTCTAGAATTCTGTAGAGAAGCTCTTGAAAACAGAACTGATAAATCTGTACCTACGTCATTTTTGATTGAGCTGGTAAACATTTGTTTGAAAAATAACATATTTGAATTTGGTGGTAAACTGTACAAACAATTGATAGGAACAGCAATGGGAATACATCCAGCCCCTTCCTATGCAAACATTTTTATGGCTAAGCTNAAGAAACAATCTCAAGGAATAATAATTGTCTAAAAACATTTTTTTAGAAAGTGAATATTTGCAAATTATCTTTTTTCCATCTCATAATCTGAGTTCTTTTCCCTTATGTCCATTTGACAGCCCAAATTTTTATTTTGAATAATCTTTTTGTTTGTTTATCTTCTTGTGATTTTTACATTTTTTTTATTTTTTTATCGATATGATGGTTATTATATCATTAGAACTGACGAGGGTCAACCCAGACCGAAATATATTTTCAATAAATGTGGAACTAACATCTACTTTTTTACTCTACAGAGGTTTGGTCCATCACCATCACTGAATTTTAAATATTATCCTGATATTCTGTTTAGTTAAAATGAAACTGTTTATTATCCTAATATTCTGTTTTCTGTTTAGCTAAGATGAAACTGTTTATTATCCTGATATTCTGTTTAGTTAAAATGAAACTGTTTATTTTCCTGATATTCTGTTTTTTGTTATGTAACTGTTTATTATCCTGATATTCTTTTTTGTTTAGTTACAATGAAAATGTTTATTATCCTGATATTCTGTTTAGTTAAAATGAAACTCTGTATCAACGTGATATTCTGTTTAGTTACAATGAAACTGTTTATCATACTGATATTCTGTTTTCTGTTTAGTTACAATAAAACTGTTAATTATCTTAATATTCTGTTTGCTGTTTTGTTAAAATGAAACTGTTTATTATTCTGATACTGCGATTTCTTTTTAGTTACAAAGAAACTGTTTATTAGCCTGATATTGTGTTTTCTGTTATGTTACAATAAAACTGTTTATTATACTGATATTTTGTTTTCTGTTTAGTTACAATGAAACTTTTTATTATACCGATATTCTGTTTTCTGTTATGTTACAATGAAACTGTTTATTATCCTGATATTCTATTTCTGTTATGTTACAATGAAACTGTTTATTATCCTAATATTCTGTTTTCTGTTTAGCTACAATGAAACTGTTTATTATCCTTATATTCTGTTTTTTGTGTAGTTTCAATGAAACTGTTAATTATTCTGATATTCTGTTTATGCTTAGTTAAAATAAAACTGTTTATTATCCTGATATTCTGTTTTCTGTTTAGTTACAGTGAAACTGTTTATTATCTTGATATTCTGTTTTTTGTTTAGTTACTATAAAACTGGTTATTATCCCGATATTCTGTTTTCTGTTTAAATATGATGAATTAGTTTATCATACTGATTTCTGTCTGTTTCTGTTTAGCTGTGATGAATCTGTTTTCTATTCTATCATTCTTATGGTTTCTGTTTCTGAGTATCCATTCTAAGACATACCTGGTTCAAACATTAGATGACCTTGAAGAAAAATCTCCAATGAGCCGAGCAGCTTATGATAAAAATGTTACAATAGGCGATGATTATAAATATGGTGGGTTTGACTTCAGGCTTACAGATGACGAATTAGGTATAGCTCTTTTTTCTCTTTTAATATAGTGAAATTAACATATTTACAAATATTGATAGTGTATGCACAATGTTTGAAGTCCTGTCTTTTTAGTTAATGTAATTAGTGAATATATCATAAAGAGTGTGTGTCCATTATAAATTGAGACTTTAGAAAAAAACGCTCGTATTCTCTCTCAGTTTTAAATTATCGCTGGGTCATTGGATTTTGACTTAGGACATATTTCATGAGAACCACTAGTTCCAAAGGTAGTCTCTGGGCATGTATAGTAATCTTTTTATATTAATGCCCTTAACTTTCAGGGGAAAATATGAATTATAATTGGCATGGTAGTTTTTTTTGTATAACCTGCCAAAAAGCATTTTCACCCATTCCTCTTTCATGTCCTTAATTTTCTTTATGAATATTCTTTAGAACACTGCAACTGATTTGTTCCCAGTGCACAGGTGGCTTATCATCGCGGATTTTTCATATTGGTGGATTTGCTATTTTATAACCTGTTTAACAAGTCTCAATTCATAATGGACAAATCCTTTTGGGTATAAATAAAAAAAGGTGAAAGCTGAAAGGTGGGAAAGGAGGCCTTTTATTTGATAGAGTTTGTTAATCCCAGAAATGACTGGGAAATTGAAATCAAACCCAGCTAAAACCCATAATTTAATAGACATCACGAATGGTCTAGAGGGAGGAGGGTCAAAAATTTCTAGGGGGGGGAGAGGTTAAAAAAAAATCGGGCAGGCTAATTATGTATACAAAATATATATAACACGCCTTTTTTATGAATTTTATAAATAATATTTGTTCATTATAATTATAATTACACAAATGAAATCTATATATAAATTTGGCTTGTCTGTCTGTCTGTTTGTCTGTTTGTTTGTGTCCAATAAACGTCAAAACGGCTGAACCGATCGGGCCCAAATTTTTTGTGGGACATCTAGGGACTCCAGGGAAGGTTTATGAATCATCAAAATTTCAAATATTTGTCTCCATCAAAATTCGATCGTCATTAAATTTTTTAAAATTTTGAAAATCCGCGAAATTTTTTGTGAATATCCGCGAATTATTTTTGTTTTGTTTTACGATGTACACAAAGAGAACATGTTCACAATTAATTTAGGGGATGGGCGCGAAGCGCCTTCTAAGGCTAGAAAGAAGGGCGCGAAGCGCCTTGAATTTCTAGTAATTGTAAATTTATTTCTGTATTCTGCCTTCTTTCTCGTTAATGAAATATATTACTCGTAGTCGTATATGTATAACTAGGCTTTAATGCGCTTCGCGCCCATCTACTATTTCAACTATAAACATTTTCTTTTCTAAACATTGTAAAACAAAAATAATTTTTTTTTGCGGATTCAACATTGTTTTTTGTGGATTTTCGAAATTTTATGCAAATCGAATTTTGTTGGAGGCAAAATTAAAAATTTTCTATATATATCATCATATATATTTCCTGGGGACATGAATATATATAAATTTCCTGGGGACATGTAAGGTCCCAAACAAAATTTTGGCCCGATCGGTTCAGCCGCTTTGAGTTTTGACGTTTATTGGACACAAACGGACAGACAAACCGACAAACAGAAAAGCAAAGTACTAAATTATAATATTAGAAGAAAAAACTTTCAATAAATAATTTTTTACAACAAAAATATAAATATTATACAATATATCTACAGGGTCATTCACAAAAACAAAAATATCAATATTATACAATATATCTACAGGGTTATTCACAAAGAATGCGACTGAAAAGACAACTTTAAAGATATGACGATTCTCAGGGTTAAGTTAAGTCTTCAGCCGCCTAGTATACATTCCGTACAGTCCTCTCAGAAGTATCATTCTTAATGGGTAACCCTGTATCTATTTATCTATCTGAACTTGTCATACTGAGAAACAAAACAATAGTTAAAATGTTAATTTACGTAACAGGAGACTAAACATACATATTTATGTCTCTTTAACTGTCATACATACTTCATGAGTGGTGTTTTGGTGTTTCTGTAGGAGTATTGTTTAAAAATAGGAGTTCATGTAGGAGTATTGTTTAGGAATAGGAGTTTCTGTAGGAGTATTGTTTAGGAATAGGAGTTCCTGTAGGAGTATTGTTTAGGAACAGGAGTTCCTGTAGGAGTATTGTTTAAAAATAAGAGTTTCTGTAGGAGTATTGTTTAGGAATAGGAGTTCCTGTAGGAGTATTGTTTAGGAATAGGAGTTCCTGTATGGGTATTGTTTAGGAATTGGAGTTCCTGTAGGAGTATTGTTTAGGAATAGGATTTACTCTAGGAGTATTGTGTAGGAATAGGAGTTCCTGTATGAGTATTGATTAGGAATAGGAGTTCCTGTAGGAGTATTGTTTAGGAATTGGAGTTCATGCAGGAGTATTTCTTATGAATATGAGGTCCTGTAGGAGTATTGTTTAGGAAAATGAGTTCCTATAGGAGTATTGTTTAGAAATATGAGTTACTTTAGGAGTATTGTTCTGGAATAGGAGTTCCTGTAGGAGTATTTATTAGGAATATGAGGTCCTGTAGGAGTATTGTTTAGGAAAATGAGTTCCTATAGGAGTAAATATGAGTTACTTTAGGAGTATTGTTCTGGAATAGGAGTTCCTGTAGGAGTATTTATTAGGAATAAAGGAGTTCCTGTATAAGTATTGTTTAGGAATTGGAGTTCCTGTAGGAATATTGTTTAGGAATAGGAGTTCCTGTAGGAGTATTGTTTTGTTTAGGAATAGGAGTTCCTGTAGGAGTATTGTTTAGAAATAGGAATTCCTGTAGGAGTAGTGTTCTGAATTGTGCATACCTTTTTTCAAATGATATATTACTTGAAATTACAACTTTAAGGTTTATAATCAAATCAATTCTTTTTCGTCCTTTCTCAATTTATAAAGAGATGAATTGATAGTTAAAAAGATAAATGTTATTAAATTAAAGTTTTAAAGGATACAATAGTGAATCATAACTATCATTTATGGGGTTAGTTATTAATTTTATTGAAAATTTAAACATTTTATTGAAGAAAGCTGTGCTAATGAGTGTGGAAGGGAGAACCCTACCAGGGTAACAAATAGAATTCAAGGAGGAAAATTTTCATCACCTCACAGGTACAACAGAAATTTAGTTTGTTCTTTAAAGGGACTGTAAAGGAAAAATGAAAGGGGGTATAGGCTGAAATCTAATCACTTTAGCTCTTGATCGCGACCCATGAAAGTTTTATCTGATGTTCCTGTCTCGAGAAATTAATATAAAACTGTGTTCAAATGATACGAAAGTTCATCTATGTAAAATTTAGAAAATCTTAAACTTAAATCACGTGACCAGAACTATCACCAATGGCAGAGCAGTATACTGATCACGTGTCTCCGCCTCTATCACGTGACCACTTTACTGCACTGCCATTGGTGGAATTTCTGGTCAAGTAATACGGACGTATAAATAATATTATGAATGAAATTTATTAAAAATAGAAATAAAAAATATAAAAGTAAACCTAATTTACAATTAGCTTTCTTATGGATATCATCGTTTTCACATTGGTTGCTTATTTGCTGAATTTGATCTTTTTAAACCTACTACTTTTATACAAAATTGTATATATATTAATTTTCGTATAAATTTGACAAAGTTGTATATCAATTTCTCGAGATAGGAACATCAAATATGACTTTCATGGGTCGCGATCAAGAGCTAAAGTGATTAGCTTTCAACCTATACCCCCTTTCATTTTTCCTTTACAGTCCCTTTAAGCTCTTTTTTTATTTAAGGGAGGGAAGGGCAATCAGGCAAGAAGTACGTTAATTGATGTTGCATATTACTTTTCTCTGCTTAACTATTATTACCAGTTCTCTCTGGTCTATGTTTGTAAACAAGAATAGCTGCATCAGTGTTCCTCTAATGTCTGAGGAGGATAAAAGCATTTAATTTTGATAATTCACATAATAGTATCCTATGGCCAGCAACACCTACTAGACTCCGTCCACAGGGGCTGCACAGCATTACTCCAGGGTATCCAGGGGTGTGGAAAAACAGAATGTGATGAGAACGTCTCATAACAGTATCATTTGTAAGAGCGTGAATTCTTATGTAAAAATTTTCCAAAACGGATGGTCCCCAGAAGAAAACTTTTTCACAATTATTTAGTAATTTGGACAAAAAATTTAACAAAATTCAACTGTTTATTTTGTGGTTGTTTAGAAACAAGCTTAGAAAATAAAATTATTCTGTAAACAAATTTATAAAGAATAAGAAATTTAACACATTGATGATAACTGATTCTACAAATGATTCCTCAAACTTGTTTTAAAAAATAGGTTCCTAAACAACAAATTAGTTCACTTTTGTTTTTAAAGTCACGCTTATTAAATTATTGTAAACAACTTTTCTTCTGAGGACCATTTCTGCTGGTAAATTTTAACAAATAGATAAAGAAATTCAAGAAAAAGTAAAAAGTGAGTGGAATTAATTATCTTCATTCGAAGAAGTAGATTGATCTCAGAATAATTTACGAAGTACGAAAAGATTAATCTCCCTGCCTGCACCCAAATAGAAAGAGTCTATGATAAATATTATTACTTTAGATATCCCTGGGTTGCTTCTTTACAAGAGGGAATTGGCGGGTTGGTAAATAAAATAAGAATTAAAAACAATCAAATCATTTGTTTACTTTCTTAGACATTTTTGTACAGCTTCAATAATATCTCCAAGAGCTATATTAGCTGCTGCTCATTGTTTTGATCCCCCATTTCCTACCGATGTTACAGCTGTTGTTGGTATCAATGGTAAATGATTAAATCTTGTTATACTTCATTCATGTAAACTTTACGATGATTATAATAGAAATTATAAATCAGAAATATTGTCTTAGATTAAATTTACAAAACCACTCGACTGTCCAACAGAATTTTGTTCCAGGGGAAATTTCCGGCATCCAGCTGAACTTTAAATTTAAATTTAAATTTTAAAATCAATCATTTAGCTAAATTCAGTATATATTTAAATGCAGTTTTTATAATCAAATTTTAAAAAAATTGTTTTCGGAAAAGTTTAAAAATCATTTTCCATCCATGGCCATGCCACGCCTGCACGGATCATGAATAAAAAATGGTTTACTCGATACGGGAAAGTTGTTGCTGAAAAAATATTTACGTCAAAAACATTCTGCTGGAAATTCTACTAGAAAAGGGGTTTCTGTTGAGAAAAAAAATTTCCCTGCTGGATAATCTACGCACCACCTAAGTAACTTCTTATAGAAAATTAGCTAGACCATTAAATAAAATTTTTCAGTCAAAATCTATGATTTTTGTTCAAAAAGGACTATTTACATAATTTTAAGTGCCTCTGAAAGAAGATAAAAACATTGATTATGAATTTTTAGATTTGATTTATGAAAATCTGGAAGGGCAAAGATTAAAAATAAAGAAATACATTATTCACCCTAAGTATATCAACGCATTCCAAGAGTATAGTTTTGAATATGACATTGCTATACTAATAACGGAAAAAAATATTGGTAAGTTTAATAATTTTTTTAAATTCTTTACCCAACCCATTATTTTAATCATTACATTATAATTTTTTTTAAAAATTTTAATTGATAAAATAAATAATTTCCAATATTATTCTTTTAGAATTTAATCAAAATGTTGGACCAATATGCCTGCCTAAGGAATAAAACCTATAAAAACTTATTATATCCATTATCCAACTCTGGCACAGTTATTTAGAATTATAGCTATAGAAAAAAATTAGATATTAAATCCCTACAACACGGGCAGCCGTAGTACACTTGAATTTCTGAGCCGGGTCAACTTTTCCGGTTTTGTTTGTACAGTTTCACCTGGACATTGGGTAAATAAATCAGACACTCAGTAGGACCAACCGGTGCAACAAGGTTGACACGATCAGACTTTAGGTTGAATTCACTTTTTCTAAAGGGTCTGAGGTGCGTGACAAATAAAATAATATAAATTTTTAATGATTAAAAAATAAATTTTAGAACATTTCACAATTATAAAGCAAATGCAAACTTGCAAAGTTTGAAAGCAAAAAATATTTTCCGATTTTGAGACATTTTAATTATACTTTTCAAGCATTTACACAATTTGGTATGTTGAAATAAATTGTAGAATAATTTAAAAGATAAAAATATTTCCAGTGATTAATAGTATTCTGTAAATTATGAAAGTGTGTTTTGTTCTGAATTGATGATTATTCTCAAATTATGTATTGTTGCAAAAGATAGTTTATATGTTCCAAAGCTTGTTCAAGATTTAAATCCGTGATATGTAGGGGAAATGAAACATGATCATAATATTTGTCCTCCAACCTGACACCCAGTGTCAGGCTTGGAGTATAAGCATGGTTTGGAACTTGCGTCTCCTGTAAAAAAAAGCTAAATTAAATCAGATTCTGTAAGAGCATATTATTAAAATCTTAAAACGATATCCATCCCTACTCACAGCACTGGCTAAGTAAGTAACAATAAATAACATTATTGGTTGAATATAGAAGAAAACTTTTATAAAAGAAGAAGAGGAGACTCTATTACTTGGCTGGGGGGTAGATGAAGATCTAAGCAAATCACTGACTGATTTCAAAATAATCACAGAACCGCAGATGGATCTAAAAGAATTGCTTTTATCACTCCGAGATAGCACAACAATTGGCAGGATTGATTCGAAGAAAGAAGAAAAATTTCTGAAAAAGCTGTTTTTCAGGTTTAAAGAAATGTTCCCAAACTTTGATAAAGTCTATGATCAAAAAATGAACTTTTTGAACCCTGCCATAAGCAATAAGCTTAAAAATAAACTGACATTGGAAATGCAAGATCTTCTCAAGTTTGTACTAGAGGAAAAAATTCCAGATTCTGGAGACAAACAAAGAATTTTATCTTATATACTTGAAGATACTGTGAAAATATTTAACGAAGTGCTCTTAGCTCCAAATTATACAGAAGTAAAAGAAGTAAAAAATATATGTTCCAAGTGCAACAAAAATTGGAACTGGATGTATCACTATATAGAGGTGGGTATTATCTACTCCAAAAGAAATATGTCACAAAGAAAGGGAGTTCTTGTCTCAAACTCAAATTTCTGATCCCTATATACCTGAAGGTGCAAACTTAAACAGAGTTTAAAGTTTGTGTTTAGAACTTAGTTTCTTTTAGTAGACTTACTTCATAGTACTAAAATATCCATTTGAAATAACGTGATTATATTGTTTACTAATATAATGTATGTGAAGAGAATCCCATACCTGATGTCCATGCATACGACTAAGAAGTTAAAAGAAGCTCAATCACACTTGCTATCCAAAGATGAATGCACAAAAATAATCAAACATTTTTATGAAACACAAAGTTCTCTACCAAATAGGTGAATCTAAATAACTTACTGCTTGATTTTAAATGAAAAACGTGAAAATGTAACACCAAATTTATTTAAGTAATATGATCAAAAAAACCCCATCTATGATGTGTATAAAGCCGATGACTGGAAGCGCATGTCCTGGAAACTCTGGAGGTCCTTCTGCTGTTAAGATAGGCAGCAAGTTTGTTCAAGGCATGACTGTCATTTTTTATTAGAAATTACTTCATAACCAGAGCCTGCCACTTAAAAATTTTTGGAAAACATGACTTAAAGGGAGTGTTCGTGAAAAATGAAAGGGGGTATAAGCTTACGGCGAAAAATAATCGCTTTTGATTGCTACTAATCTTACTTCTATTTTGAGGAAATTGTTAAAAACAATTTACACGGAAGAGCGTATCATCCATACAAATTTAGAAAGTTGCAATATACAGTAAGCCCATTATCCTTTGTTCAAATCTGGACACAAGGTCTAATAAATATAAGAATTTTTAACTCCGAGAATTTAACCGTTAGATGGAAAGTTCCATGGAGTAACCCGGAGTCAACAAACAACAAATCCAACCCGTCCTTATTATGTATCTATGCCCAGAGATAGGAGTAGTGGGACTATTCTGTCGGCAGAGAAGGCATAATCAGCGTCCATTTTTTGCCCAGAGATATGCTTCAGTCTTGATGAAGGAGTAAAAGAGGTGAGTCGACAAGTATCACCAGCAGGCGGATATCTTCATCTATGATTCAAGGATTAACTTTGGTAGATCCTATAGTTTGTATAAAATATCTAATGTAAAATAAATGTGTTTGCAAACGTTGCATATAGATCCAATCTGGCTTGTTTATATTGAGTTTCTTTATTTAGAGTTTCTTTTTTAATTCTCATTCAAAGTTTATATTTTGACATGCTAAACTCTTCAAGTACGTCTGAAATGTTCATTTTAGCTAGATTGTTTTGATTAATACCACAGCTAGATCCTATTGTGTATCGATTTACCACTAATCAATAAACAAAGACGACAAAAAGTGTATTCTGTCAGAAAACCATCAGCGGTATTTGGGATTTAAATAAACAAATTGTTTTGTGTTTGCAGACAGTAAATTTCACACTTTCCCGTTCATTGTGCAAATTTTCAGTGACTGAAAAGGTAATAAAAAATATAAACAATAATTTGTTCTCCCAAATCTTACAATAAGTAATAATGTATTACAACCCCGACAAAGTAAGTTTAAGGGGTTGTTTTTGCAGTTTTAGTAAGGACAAATTAAACAACCTGAGAATCATGAATGCAAACTATAAATGATTCTTTGTTGTTTAGAATGAGTTCAACGGAGACCCAGAAATCAAGGAGGCAACAGAGGCCAGGTATCCGCCCTGGTTTAGGCGTTAAGCAAGTGTCAAAAGCCCTGGTTAACCCTACCAATTTAATTGCGACAGAGTCAATAAAGAGGAAAGCAGCCCTAACCTTGGAAGAAGTACAAATCAAGAAAAAGTTTAATAAGACCATGCAGTCAAAATATCAGGGTGAAGCCCAAATCCTAGAAGCACAGCAAACTCCAGTGTTGCAGTTACAGAAAGAAAATATTAAAACTGAGCAATTAAAGAAATCAAAGATTGAAACTAACCACCTGGAACCAACAGAGGAGACCAGCATGTTCACATTTGGTCCAGATGGTGCTGTTAATATCAGTCATACAGGTAAAGCTAGTTTTGTTTATTGCCCTCATATTCTTATTGATATAGGGGCACTTGTACCCTCGGGTATTGCGATTTCTGATGATTTTTTTTGTAATCACCTATGGGGGGGGGGGGGGGGAACTAAGTAGATTAAGTCCGTCATGCTTGAAATCGGCAAAGGGCCGACTGACAACGAGACGATGACCACATTACATGAAGTTAATTAGACTTGAAGTTTAGTAGGATGGATATTATATTTAAGGGCACAGATAAAGTGTTGGAAAATTTATCCCAATTCCTATTATTTAGGGGTAAATTTCCTTAAACACAACAGTTTGAGCCCGTTTTTTACCCCTACACTAGCACAGCTTGTGCATACCCCCTACCATCAAACTCAAAATATAATTGCAAATGTAGTTGAAAACAATTTAAACCCCCTCCCCTCTTGCTCTAGATCTAAACAAAAAACTAGAAGGACTATCAACAGGGAGATTTCTCTCCCCAAGAATAATACCCCCCCCCCCCCCAACCCCTATTCTTCAGGGTATAGTAATGGGAGAGGATGGAGCTCCTATTTTTGCTGATAAGATCTGCAGAGTGTGTCTAGATTCCTGCCAAAACTGCATATGGAGTACATGTCTCTGTACCCCTCAACCCTGCTGCTACAATCAATATCCAACCAGTCAACGATGGAAACCTGAATGGAGCAGTTTCAGGCATATACAGACACAAGACACAACAGAAGGATAAGTGTCTAACAATTTTGAATTGTAACTTATCAGAGAATTGCATTGTTTTAATGCCAGGGGAAGTTATTGCACATGGGTCAATGTGCTTTGTCGAAAAAACAGAGAAAGCTGTAATTATTAACTCGGTCACACCTGGAATTAAAAGTAGAATGGTCACAGATAAACTGTGGGCCCATTAAAAGCTAGAAAATAATTTTATTCTCAAACAAGTTCCAGAAATTAGTAAAAATTTGTACTCAATGTTGAATGAATACCAAGATGTTTTTACCAATGACAGTTGTCATGAGGGCAAAACATCCTGGGAGACATTCAAAAATTGAGCTCCTGCCTTCTTCGAGACTGGTAAAACAGAGAGTGAGACCATTAGCATCCCCCTCCGTGATAAGTTAAAAAAAGAAACTATTGAAATGGCTTCATGATGAAGTAATTGAACCTTCTAAATCTCCTTGGTCATCACCTTTGGTGCCGGTCACAAAAAAGTCAGGTGCTGTAAGATGGTGTGTAGATTTCCGCCCAGTCAATAAGGTCATGGTGACCGACTCCTACCCCACCCCATGTATCAGCGATATATTAGAATTGCTTGGTTCGTCAAAGATTTTTTCGACATTAGACACAGCTAACACGTACAACATAATTTCAGTAGAAAAAAAGTCCCGTCCTTTAACTGCATTTGCAACAGCCTTTGGCAGTTTGCCCTCATGCCCTTTGGTTAAAAAATGCAGGTGCAGCATATTGTCTCTTAGTACAGGGTTTAGCTGATATGTTGGGTGAGGAAGGAGTCCTTGCTTACCTAGATGATTTGTTAATACATACTAATCACCCTGAAACTCATCTTAAATTGCTTAAATTAGTTTTTCAGGCACACAGAGAAGCTGGAATTAAATTAAGTGCGGATAAAACATTTTTGTTTAGGCAGGAAGTCAAATACTTGGGACATTTAATCTCGGAGAATGGGATAAATTAGTGCCATCTTATGTAAATAAAATTACTTGGCATTTGGCAGGTGACAATGGCATAGAAGGCAGAGGACCCCCTCTTATAGGATCCATACAAGGTACAATTGTGAGACATCAATATGATCTAGAAAAAGCTCATATTGACAATGGAACAATCAGGTTAGTCAGATCATGGTTTGTCAAAAATACAGGTAAGGCTGATGATAAAAACATTGACACAAATGAACTCAAAACTTTGCACAGTGATGTGTTACAGTTGTACAAAGTAAGAAAACAATTGAGAATTACAGATTACAAGGTAGCAAAAAAAAGCCAAGTTAGTTTAATTGTTGGAGAATGAATTCGAAGTTCATGTACAATGCTACAGGTAAAAAAGGTTTTCTACTGGCCTGGGTGGAGAAAAGACACCAGCCTATTTGTCACAGAATGTGCAGGTTGCCTGCACAGAGAAGAGGTAAATTTAAAACGAGTTGAACCATTCAATAACCGTCAAAAAACATCAATGATGTCTTGTGCATGGGCCTTGTTGAATAAAAATAAGTACATTTTAATGATGCTTGATCAATTTAGTCATTTCTGTACGGTGGTCCCTATCCCTAATAAGCTGGCGAAAACAGTCTCCACAGCAATCCTAACACACTGGATAGCGTTGTATGGGACTCCGACAAAAATCAGGATAGACGCAGGACTAGATTCTACTATTATTTCTATGATGAGTAGCTTAAATGTAAAAAAGCTAATAGGGAGAATGATTGGGAAAAAGTTTACCCACTGTGATTCTTGCATATAATGCTACTCAACATTATTCTACATTGTGCAGTCCCACACACTTATTTCGAGGTAGCGAGACAAACCTGCCTCATCCTTTCTGCCAAACTTCAGAGACGATACCCCAACACCCCCAGCCCCACACCTTAGAGGAAGAGCTGGAAAGGATAATTGACCTTATGCGCAGACAAGATGCTGTTCATAGAAGACGTCAATTCAAATCATACTCGAAACCAATTGATGATCTAAAGATAAATGATCTATGTAGCTGTACTTCCCCCCCCCCCATTGGGAACTTGCGGAAACTCCAACTGAAATGGAGTGGACCTCTACAAATCACAGAAATAATGAAGCAAGCTATGGTAATGATCAGGGAGATCAATGTCCCCAACCCTTGCCAATATGATGCCCACATCAGCAAACTTCAACTGGCAAAGAAATTTGGAGAACAAGATTTGAATCCATTTTCCTATTACCAAGACTACAAAAAGAAAACATGTTACAGTTGTCCAACGAACTCTCCAAAATCAATTTACCGTGTAAGATTAATGATAAATTAGTTGATAAATTCTACGAAGATATCAACCATGGGAGTCAACACCAAGATAATGAATCATCAAAAGAACCAATCAGAAGCAACACCGGAAGAAGAGACAGCAAGAAAAGTTTGCAACAAAACAGATTCAATCAGAGGCAAAAATTCATCTAATGGACTAATCATAAGCAACACTAGAAGTAGTGGCAGCAAGAGCAGCAAACTACCGAGATGAAAAGCCAAACCTCAGGAGAAGATCACCAAGAAGAAGAGTCTGAAGATGATCATGATCTCTAACAATCGTTCAGGGACTTGGATCAATCAATCAGTCAGTCAATCAATCAATCAATCAACAGATCACCAGGACAGAGGAGTAGCAGCAACTCACTGGAGCAAGATTTCACTAGTCATTTCAATGTTTATGAAATTGGAGAAGGAGAACTCACGCTAGGGAGGGAAGGCCAAGAAGCCATGAACCCCGTGGAAAATCTCCGAACCCTGTGGAATGGTCTCCGAACCTGTGGAGAGTCTCCGAACCCCGTTGAGGAGGTTTTTTGAAAAAAACGTTATCAAATATAAATATTACTTGTAAATTAGCAATAATTTCCCAATCTTCTTGACATATGGACTCAATAAATATAATAATCAAGTTAAAGAAATAATTTTCATTATTGTTTTAATTGTCTTTTTCTCCAAATTTTGTTTTCCCGTAAAAAAGGTGGATCTCAAGTATGACACTATTCATAGAATTATGTTTGTTACCTTTTATTTCCTGTTTTGAATTAAAAGGTCATTGCTTAAAATAGAAAATTAAGTTTAATAGTAGTATACATGGGGGGGCTACGGGGGCTCTATCCCCCTCCTGGATCTGAAAAATCTTTGGTTTATTTATGATTTGATGGCTCTTTCTTCCATAAGAAGCCATTGCAAGAAAAATAAATGAAAGTCCTGCCCC